GTCTCATCGCAAAAATATATATTTCTCAAGAAGCGGGGACAAAACTGAACATAGTGTGAAAATTTCGCTGTTTTTTTTTGCGAATATTTCGAAACGCTTTAGGAAATTTTGTTTGCAAACTTCAGATCAACATTCAGAATCTCCAGAAACATAATATGGTACCGCAGAGAAATCGACTACTTGATTTTTTTCCACGATCGTTTTACTGAGATATACGTTACTGATGAACAGAGAAGTGAACACTAACACTATTTGTTCATGAACTTATTAATTCGATATGAAATAACACGAATTCATGACAAATGTATCACTACTATTCTGTTTCAAAAGGTTTTCGAAACAGTGGGTACGAAAGTAGAGATTGAAACAATATGATACGAAAAGCAACAAGTGGCAGTCATATCCATCCCCGCCCCTTTCATGTATCGGCAACACCGCTGGAGGTGAGTACTGCATCTACATATCTTGAAATTATACACGAGAGGCCACTGAGACGTATATATATACCGTTTTTAGTAACATCAATGTAACCAACCCCAATGAGTTGTATGTACAGCAATTCATAGTTAACTAGCTCTGCTAGTTTTGATAACATTTTGTAGTCTTACTTCCCCTGATGATGGACATATAACTTTCCGGAAGAGTAAGCTGGGTTCTTATTGAATTCACGTAAAATTCGCCGTTCATTTCCATTTTGCACAAAATGACCATTATTTTCTTAATGATTGTGTCTATTTTGCCTGCCAGTGTTAGCGAATCTTCTATGAATATTCACAAACACATTGGAATGAGGATGTCTCCTAAGTGGATACCTTCTCCTATATTCCCTGGCAGCCTCTGCTGAATTTCCATTCGCATAGCCGTGAAGAAAATAAATATCCGCTTTTTCCTGATTCGAAAAACTGTGAGGCATTTTATTTACCAATAATTAGGTAGGCTGAATTCAGATTAACTCTGGATTACAAGTCCAACTAGGTAAGCTTCATTTGTGCAGAACGAAATGTCAGAAGATAAATAGAGATCTGCATTGTTTCGTTTTTGTTTCCTACATCACTGAACACAAAGTAGTCATACATATTTTGTACATTACATACAAATTTTGTAGTTTTTGAAATTGCTGATGTTGTACCCCATATGTTTCCACAAACAAAGCTTTCAGTCTGACAGCTTCTACATTTTTACTCATGCAGGGTGGTTCGGTGATTTTACAACTATCGAACTGTCAATTTTGATGAAAAAAATTAACACTCCAAATGCTTATGCAGGCAAATATATTGGCCATAAATTGATAATACATATAGTTTCCAGAGAAATGTAAGAAAGGAAAAAGTATTCCAATTGAAGAGAAAATCTAAATTCATGATTTATTGAATGCGAAGGCGGTACGCAAAAAAGTTCGAGTGGGTTTGAAGGGTACGACCCAAAAACTGTATCATACTTCAAGTTTTCAAGAACGCTTGATAGCCCCAAATATTGCGTTGCCAAAGTGTACCAGGCGTACCGGATCTCAATTCATTATTTTGAAAAATGTAGGTTACAAATTCGTTACAAATTGAAAAACACAAAAAAAATATCAAACTAAAACCCTGTATATCGAAAGCGAAGCCATCACGGATTATGTGTACATAATATTCTCATCTTGAAAAAATGAGTTCTCCAGACTGTTGAAGTTCTGATACGAAATACAGGCTCGAAATATGAAGTTTCATTACAAGGAAATTATTTTTTGCATCCATCTTGAAACTCACACAGTTTACGAGATAACAGGAGGAAGGAAAAAATATCCAAATTGAAGAGAGAATCTGAATTTATGTTCCTTAGAAAACAGAGGCGGTACCCAAAAAAGTTCGAGAGGGTTAACTTGGGTACGACCCTTAAAAGTGTATCATCCTGTAGGTATTCAAGAACGCTCTATAACCTCAAATATTGCGTCTGCAAAGTGTAATGAGTGAACCAGATTCTAATCCATTTTTCTGGAAAATGTAGGAGGAAATTCGAAAAACAAAAGAAATTGCAAATTTTGAAACCCTGTATATTGGAAACGAAGCTGCCACGCATATATGTTTATATGAGATTTTCGTCTTGAAAAAATTTCCCTATCCTGCTAAAAAAAACTGACTAACCTTGTATATATCAATGAAGACACAAGAGGAATTTTGACCAAGATTGATTGATACGAATCATCAAAGAGTGTGCAAGATGGAGTAACTAACTTTTTGAATTTCATAGCACAGTGTTGTTCCTATTGTAACTTGGAGCCCCTGTAAATCTTCATGACATTCGATGCGTAATTGAAAAACAAACATACTTTAAATATTGATTCTATCGAAATTTCTATCGCATCGAATGTATCATTTGCCGAAAAGTCTTGTTATCAACTATTCTTTATAGCCATCCAAAGAGATGAAAAAGGCAGGGGACATTATCGAGTGAATAATTCACATTGAACTTCATCAAAGTCTCAAGAGTTTGTTTGGGCTTGGTTAATCAGTAAACTGAAAGTTTGATAATGAAACGAGTTGTCCCAGAGCAGTGTGACGTTATATTGATATATTTTCTTAAACGGCATGCCATTTTGTCGCACATTTGAGTACCTACTTATTGTGGTATCCCACATACTCCTGGAATTTGTTTTGATTCTCATATAAAAGGAATAGATTTGAAGATATCGTTTTTCAATAAAATTATATCGTTTGATTATCTTGTAGGTAATTCAAATCGACTTGTTTTTCGATTGTTCCTGAAGAAACCTAGAATATTATGCATAATGAGTTTGAATTCGTCGAATCCTGTTGGACCAAATAAGCGTTTTCGCATTCTCTCTTCAACTTCTTATTTGTTGAAATAGATATTTTTTCAAGAAAATGTTTGGGATTCAACTCGTAATCACGGTATGTTCCATCAATAAACTGAAAAGTAGGTGAGTACAAAAAATATACTCCGAACCATGTCTCAGAAGCTGGAGTTCAAAAATGCTAGGACCCTAACTCCAAGATTGGAAATCTGATGAATCTAGCATAATGTTATACAGAGTATTTGGTGCATCGTGTGCCAAATTGAAATGGTCGAATGAAGGGGTCATCTGCTATTCTTTAAGACTAGTTAACACCTTTCATGTCCTGTGGATTATTTTAAATCGTCTTTTTATCTGTTTATCACAAAAAGACCCAAATTCTACATTCAAATTCAAATTTTGAAGAAAGTTTGAGGCGTAGACTCTGGATTTTGATTTTATTCAGATGTGTATTGTGTTAGAGTACTTTTAAATACAGAACTAGTAACATAAGTCATCTAGTTTTTTTTTAATTCACTCGTAAAGTTTCAAAATATGTAAAACTCAAATTGAAGCCGTGACTTTACATGGCTACAAAAAAAAAACCAGAAGCGACCATGATCTTCCAACTCCCTCAGAAGTTCTCTAGTCCATCCTCTTGCCAATAATGTGTCACATGCCATTAATATCTTTCAAGAACTTTGTGAATTCGCTGGAAATGTCAATCAAGTCTCATGAGGCTGTTATTAATAATGATTTGAAATATTATTTTTGCGTAACTGTTACTCCAGAAACAAGTGAAATTTATATTTCTTGCACAACGTAAATCTGTTTGAACAAATCACGAACTGCCACCGGCCCCATGATTTTTTAGTCGAGACATCACTGCCTCTGCTACCTAACGTGTTCATTTCATCGTACTCCGCGATTCGTTCATGCGTGGATTGGGCGAGATGGCCCTATTGTATGGCCGCCACGTTCCCCAGACCTAACTCTGTTAGACTTTCATGTCTGGGAACCTGCCAAAGGACTGGTATACGCCACGGAAGTTCCAACTAGGGATGTATCTGTCCAACGCATATAAACTGCCTTCGATACCATTAAGGAGGAGATACGACTTCGAACAACAATTGTCGAAACACGAAACATTTGTCGAGCCTGCATTCGCAACAGAGGTCAACAATTTGAGCAGGATTTGTGAGATTTATGAAATGAATGCGAAATAAATGTAAAAATGCAATTTTATTTTTTCTTTATTTCAAGTATAATCCATGAAAAAATAGAGATACGAGACAGATTTCACCTCATGAGAGTGAAATAACAAATTCAATAGGTTCAGGCATCATTCAAACAAAAATAATTTTTTAAATCCTGATTATGAATATTTGCTTTATGTGACTCGATCCACAATTCTAGCGAATTCAGAGAGTTGTTAAAAGATATTAATGGCATATGTGACACATCATCAGCAAGAGGATAGACTAGAGAACTTTCGAGGGAGTTGGAAGATCCTGGTGGCTTTTGGTTTTTTTGTGTAGCCATGTAAAGTCACAGCTTTAATTTGAGTTTCACATATTTCAAAACTTTGCGAGTAAATAAAAGAAAAACTAGATGACTTATGTCACTAGTTTTGTATTCAAAAGTACTCTAACACAATACACATCTGAATAGAATTGAAATCCAGAGTATACGCCTCATACTTTTTTCAAAATTTGAATTTGAATGTGGAATTTGGGTCTTTTTTTGATGAACTAGTCTTAAAGCATAGCAGATGACCCCTTCATTCGACCATTTCAATTTGGCACCTGCCACAATTGTTGTTGTCGAAAAGTTACAATAGAATTTGAAAAGTTACAATAGAATTTGACGAATGATAACATGTTATCACACTATCAACACTATACTTGGAGAGATGAGTTTTGCCTGATTGCAAGTTTCACTGATCGAATGAAGAATGCGAATTATTAATGTTAATCTTCCCAATTTTTTCCGTCTTCATAAAATATCTGAGAATATTCCTTCTCAAAACTTCACGATAGTTGTTGAAAAATGTATAAGATGAATTCGTTGTTCAATATTCAACTTTATAAATCACCTCTCCTCAGGAATCATTGGGAGACATCTGATCGAGATGTTCGTTTGCTATGTGTGTTTATCATTATCTAAATTAATATTGAAATATTGATAACGGAAGATAAGAACTTAAATGGCGTGAATTTCGTCTGAATTTTTGTAGATGCACCGTAACTATATGAATGAGGTTTTATTTTTCTCGTGGAGAAACTACTGAATAGAAATACACATGTTGGTGAGTACAATCTTCGGCGAAATTTGATAATACTATGTATTGTTGATCAAAATGACAATATGAGATTTTGAGTTCCTGTATCGACATTTCCAAATGATAAATATCTACTAACCATCAGCTCTCTGATGAAACCTCGATGCAAATGGACCAGATTATCAACGGTGATTTCACGAGTCCTCCAGATATCACCGATATTTGTTTCAAATTCTCATGAAAATATTTTTATTCAGCAAGATCATAAAAACAAACCCATTCATGAAATCACGATTCCGTAGGACTCTCATCTGAATCGGTTTGTTCGAATGATTCTGCCTCAAATTCGAGGGACGAGCTGTATTTGAGAAAATTATTTTTTTCGCCGATTTGAGGAAAAGACACACTTCGCAAAGGAAAGCGATTCAACATTATTATTAGTATAATATAGAATAGTTGGCTAAAATAACGGATTGCTATTGGTCACATGTGAAGAAAATAATCTATAGAATTTGAATTTTCCAAAATGAGTACCAACTCAGTGAGAATACAAGGGTTCTTTTATATGATATTTTGCAGAATAACTGAATTCTTCCACACGCCGTATTCGAAAGCTCATATCCATCCCTCCTCGTCTATATGGATAAAAATATAGATATTATTTTAATCAATCAATCAATCAATCTAAAATATACTTTATTGTCAAAGGAACACATTCTTGTTGACAAAGCATGATAAATAAATGAATATAATAAATGAAGTGAAATGAAAAATTGCACAGTAAAGGTTGAGGTTGAACTCGTTAGAATACAGATATATAGACAATTTGAATTATTATCAATTGGAATAAATAAATTAATTAAGTGTATAGACTGGTGTATAGCATGAAGATACATAAATTATTGAATGGTTCCACATGCACTCATATTGAAATATATCTCTGTACATAAAACAGATATGAATGAAATAAGAGTAGGAATGAGTAAGGATTGAACATGACAAAATCAATAATAATATGTATTGCACATTTTGGAATGTACAAGCCAGCCAAACAAAACAAGAACAGGTAGATACATGAGTTTGTAGATATGGACGTACAACTCAACATACTTTCAACAGAACATAACATATATAACATTATTGTAAAAATATCAGCTGGAGTTTATTATCCCTCGAGCTTATCGTCAAAAAAATCCTGTTAAGAATAATATGTCTTCTCAACAAGCAACCTATTCTCAGCCTTTCTGAATGTCTTTTAGTCCTCAACTTGTTTTATATGTGTTGAAATAATGAATTGAATACAATTATATTATTGACGCACCCTGTATTATCAGATATGTTTGAAATCACATTCGTGTATCTTCAGTGAATGTTTTGTTTTTAGTTGTGTAGATAAATATTTTGAAGTTGCCAAAAATATTTTTCTGGTCCAATTTTTATTCCAAGAAAACCCAATTATCAACAGGTTATGAGCCAATACATGTTCTGAAGAACTATTTAATCTGTTATGGTTAATCTTTGCAAGTATGGAAATCGAGAAATTGCAAGATTATAATTGGGGTCAGTGGAAATTTCTGATCACTATCTATCTGGAGGCAGCTGAGCTGTGGGAAATCGTATCAGGAGAAAAGAAGAAACCCAGTAGAATAGAACAAGAAGCCGAAGCCGAGAAATGGAATAAAAGTGACAGTAAAGCTCAAAAAATAATAGTTTTCAGTATAGACACCAAGAAATTGATACATCTGATGAGCTTCAAGAGTAGTAAAGAAATGTGGGATGAATTATGCCAACTACATGAACACAAATCCGAAGCAAGTATTCATCAATTGCGGTCAGAATTTCATAAGTTCCAGAAATCTGCAGATGACAACATGTCTACTCATTTAGCCAAGCTGGAGAACCTTCGTCAATAATTGTGTTTGCTCGGAGAAAATATATCCGACTCAATGATGATAACCAAGGTTTTGATGACAATTCAATCATTTATATACGGCATGGGAATCCACTGGAGAAGTTAAAAAGAGTCTAGAGAATCTGACATCTCGCCTGTTACTAGAAGGATCCCGACTAAAGTTGCAAGATTTATCCCTCACAGAAGACAAAAATGCTTTGATAGGAAAGAAGCAGTATCACGAAACTGATATCAATTCCAAGAGGAAACCAGGAATATGCAATTATTGCAAGAGAACCTGCACTGAAAGAACGAATGCAGATATAAAATGAAAGCAGACAAACGACAAGAAAATTATGGAAGGAGTTCAAGGAAATTTTATCCAGAACATGCGAATACTTCAAAGAAGTCATTTGGCAAATTCTTCAGCAGATGATTTTCAAGCTCTCATAACAATCCAACGGAAAACAGCAGAATGAAACACATGGTTTTTGTATTAAGGAGCTACCGACCCTATGACTTCAAAAATAAAATGGTTTGCAGAACCTAAGAATGTTAGAATAGCTAACGGAACATTTATAAAGGCAGTAGGAGTTGGAAATATCAATATAAAACTGTATGTTGAGAGTCAATAATCCGATAAACAGCTTATCAATGTCCTCCACGTTCCAGAAATATCGTTGAATTTGTTCTCGGTGAGTGCAGCACTAGCAAAAGGACTAACTCTCTAATCTGATAATAAAAAGTGTGAATTCCTGAAAAATGGTGTCGTAGTGGCTGTAGGTCATAGAATTGATAAACTATATCAATTAGATTTAGTTTTAATGCTATAAAACCATTTGGCAAGAGAGAATCTAGACCAAAATCTGAAATTATGGCATGAACGCTTTGGACATCAGAATATGAACCAGGTGATACGAGTTCTGAGAAATTCTGGAATCGAGGTGACCTCTGGACCAAGTAAGCAGTTCTGCGAAGGTTGTTTGTATGGTAAGCAACATATAGATAACCTTTCCAGAAGAGCGACCACAGATCAACAGAAAAAGGTCAATTAATCCATTCAGATCTATGTGGTCCTATGGAAGAAGATTCGTTTGGTGGTTCCAGGTAATTTCTCCTATTCAAAGATGACTTCACCCACTATAGATTCGTTTACTTCATCAAACATAAAGATGAAGTCAAACACAAGATGAAGGAATTTTTGACGTTCATGTCAAATGATAAATCTCCAGTCAAAATTCTGAGAACAGATAACGGAAAGGAATTCTGCAATTGTGGAACAAGTTCACTCCTCATGAAGCTTGGGATTCATCAACGAAGTGTTCCTTATACGCCAGAACAAAATGGTTCCGCAGAAAGGGAAGATAGGACAGTGGTGAAGATGGCAAGAACTTGAGAGATCATGGACTGAAGCAACAAATTCCACTATTTATACACTGAACAGAAGAGGTACAAGTACAGTTTTTGGTGAAACACCATATGAACTCTGGTATGGAGAATCTACTGATTTGAATGTATTACGTGTATTCGGATCAGAGGTTTCCATATTTCTAAGGAGAAACGCCAGAAATGGGATCCAAGAAGCAGAAAAGGAATATTTGTTGGATATCCAGAAAACATGAAAGGTTACCGAGTATGGTTTGGTCAAAATGAGGTTGAGATTTTCCGAAATGTATTTTTCAACGAAGAAACAAACAAAACAGAGAATCAGGAATTCAATCAGGATAAAAATGACAGAAAACGGACAATGGACCAAATACGTTCGAAGAGGCGATATCCTCAGAAGATTCAGCGAAGTGGGATCGAGCTTTGAAAGAAGAACTTTTATCCTTGAAGAAAAATGAAACTTGGATCCTCACCGACTTACCATCATCAAGGGAAGCCATATTGAATAAATGGGTTATAAAATCAAGAAGGAACCTGAAAATAGAGAAAATTCATATAAAGCCAGACTAGTTGTGATAGGCTATGCTCGAAAGTTCGGAGTAGAACTATGAAGAGCCATTCAGTCCAGTTGTCAAGTTTGATTCTGTCAGAACGATATTGTCAATTGCAGCCAAAAGAAAATTGCATTTATCACAATTTGACATCAGAACTGCATTCTCATATGGTTATCTGGCACAAGAAATATACATGATGCAGCCTAATTGAATTGAATTGAATTGAATTTATTCAGTTCAGAAATATTACAATATTATGAAACACGTCAAAGTAAGAATAGGACAATGGTCAAATTAAAAAAGGACATTAGCCAAAGTAAAAATAAGACAATAGTCGAAGTAAAATGGGATAATAGTCCAAGTATAAGTAAGTATGTAAAAATAAAATGAAAATATAAAATATCATATTGTACATGGGTTTACCTAGTTTTTGTTAAGATGTCTCTGCTTTTGAATAACTTGCAATATTCGTCAAATGAGTATATGCAGTTCTCTGCCAGAATGATTTTCAGTCTTATCGAAAATTTGGAAAATGATGGATCACGAAATTCGGTTGTTAATGCATTGTACCATTCAACACCTCTGTTTGTATGCCTACGTAATCTAGTGTATGGTTGCATCAGCATAGATTTGTTTCTTGTGTCATGTCAATGGATTCGTAGACGGAACAAATAGAGTATGTGAGCTGAAAATAAGTTTATACGGCTTAAGCATGCTCCTCGCATATGGAATAACCGATTCACAAATTTCTTGAAGAAATATAATTTCAAAGTTGATGATGCTGATTGCTGTGTATTTTTCAAATAATCTGATGGTTTTGTCATATTGGCCGTATACGTAGATGATGGACTCATTGCTGCTGAGAAGTCAGAACAAATAAGTAAAATTTTGGAGTACTTGCAACAAAAATTTGGGATAAAATATGGTAATCTCGATTACTATCTTGGTTTGCAGATTTAAAGACAAAGAGATGGTTCAATATTTTTGAGTCAGTCTTATTATACTCAGAAAATACTTGAAAAATTCGGATGCATAATTTAAAAACAATAGCAACACCTATGGATATATCTTTAGTATCAACAAACGGTGAAGAAGCAGTTGGAGTACCTTTTCGAGAAGCTGTTGGCAGTTTGATCTACCTTTCAATAGGAACAAGACCTGATTTGTCATTTGCCATTTCGAAAGTTAGTCAGTAC